CAGCACTGCAGATGGGGCCTCACTAGGGCAGAGTAGAGGGGGAGGAGAACCTCCCTGACCTGCTGGCCGCACTCCTCCTAATGCATCCCAGGATGTATGTGCTTAGGATAACACCGGGGAGAGAGAGACCTTTGCAGGCTTGTGCCTGCCATATGAAGTGTTGATACACAAAGGTGCTGCACGCACAGTGGAGCCCGGGGAGGAAGAAGCACGCGTGTGTCTGCAGAGCAAGGGGACAGCTGCGCTGCTTGCAGGCGTGCAGCAGAGTGACTGTGCCTGCCCGCGGGGACCAGTGACGACTCGGGGCACGCGCCTTGCGCGGCAGCCAGCACGCACAAGCCCAACGGACAGTCAGTGGCAACAGGCACAGTGGCTGCTTCTGCCTGCTTGTTCCTGGGCCCTGCACCCAGCAGCTGCGTCCTTTGCCCGCAGCGGCAGATGGCAGGACACGGTCTTTGTTTAAAATTGTCAACCCATTTCTAGAGGCTGCACTGATCCGCAGCACAGCATCACGGCGGCTGGGGACGTTCTCTGCCAGTCACTGCCGCTTTCATTCAGGCAGGTCCCTGTGTTTGTACCATGGCAGAGCTGTGTTTGTCTTCCCAAGAAAGGCAGGGACCCCAGCGCTAGGCGAAAGGTGGCCGCAGGACACCTCTGTGCCATTGCAGAGGCAGGCCTGGAGCCACAGCTACTTCTGAGGAAAGCTGGGTCTGCGCCAAATTATCTGTAGCTCTTTTCTGCCAGGTTTTACCATGATACAGTGAACAGGTCAGACAGGGTAGGTCTCCAAAGCACTCATTTTTTTTCCTTCTAGTAGAAGCTCTTGCTGCAAGCTTGGCTTTACTTGCACAACAAACCCCAAATAATCCCAGAGAGTTTTACTATTTTCTTGTGCAGACAAGGTCAGAGGTTAAAGCTCCAATCTAAATAATCTAATTCCCGAGATAATCCTTTTGCTGTCATCTGCAGTCCGGTACCAGGGAGGCTTCCAAATAGCTCCACATGGCAGGGCAGAGTGGCTCCCCTCCGGGCACCCAAGCCCTGTAGCCCTGTGTGGGTCGGGACCTGGCCCAGGCACTGGGGCTGTCTCGCACTGGCTTCTTAGATGTATTGTTAGCCACAGGGTCTGCTTCTGACCCACACGTCTCCGCTGCTCTTTTCGGACATCCCGAGTCCTCGTCCCTTCTTCCTGCAGTAAATGGCTGGTACCCAAAACACATGCCTCGCGCTGCTGGTGAATGGTCAGGGCTGCAGAGCAGGCAGGACTGATTCAAGATGGAGAGTCATTTTGGCACAGCTGCCAGCAGACAGGGAGAGATCAGGGGATTGAGAAGACAACCCTGAGCCTTTCACTTGTAGGTTACTGGTGTAAATCCAGCCTGCATCAAGGGACCGATGGCTCAGTGGATTAGTAACGGGATACAGAGCCTTTGACATCTGGGGCACATGCGGGCATCGAGTTGCTGGTGACTGCAAGTAATGATCCAGGGGCAGCGGTGTAGGCCATCGCCAATGCAGGCCATCACGGCACGTCCACCGTCCTCTGCCAGCGTGAAGCAGGGTGGGTGCTCCTTCTGCACCCGGATGACCACAGCCATGATCCCTCCTCACTCGCTGCTGCTCAGTTAATCCCTCTTGCTCCGTGACGGGCTGCTGATTCTTGGGAAGCGATCATCCAGGCTAGGTATTAGAAGATGCTCTGGCTAGGGAGGCAGAGGAGGTACTGCAATGCTCAGTGGCTTGCCCTCTAAAAAGACTGAGTCCTCAGATGGAAGAGAGGGGGTTTTCCCCTCTGTTCAAGGAGGGGGCTGTTCCTTTTCAAGGAAACTCTTCTCTTTTCAGGGAAGCGTTGCTGATATTTTGCTGTGAGATGTGCAGGAGCCGCAGGAACCCTCGACAGAGACCCCAGGGCTTGGCACAGCCACGAAAGCCCCTGGTGACGCTCCCAAGGCAGGGGATGAGCTGGGTTAGCTCCCAGCTGCCCCTGTATGTGTCTGGGGCCAAGGAGACCCGTTCAGCTGAGGGATCTGTCTTGGTCATACCTAAACGTTAGCTAGTGAATCCCTTCATGTCTGAATTCCTGCTCTAGGCACATTTGGTCTGTGCCGAGCGGTTTGATGCTGGGTTTGGAATGAAGCCTCAGCACCAGCTGCACAGCCCCTGTGCCCACCGAGGCACAGTGGTCCTGCTGCGAGCCGCACGCTCCCCAGCTCGCCGAGAAACACCACAGGGTTTCAGCCAGGCTTTGCCCAGCCAACGTGTGTGCCCCCGATGCCATTCTGTGTGTGCGAGGCCTGTGAAAGCCCTGCGGACCCAGAAGCCAACGGGGCCAGTTGCCTCAGCCCACCTGGGCCACGCGAGGGGCTGTGTGTGGCCCTTGGCGGGGCCTTGGCTGCCCTGGTGAGTCCCAGGACTCCTATTGGAGGATTCGCACCCGTGGACACTGCTGTTGGTAGCCTCAGCCCCAGCTGTCTCGGCCCACTGCCGATTCACACTGTCCCTCGTTCCACTTTGCTTTTGCAGCTCATGGCAGTAGCCTGGTGACACACAAAGTGTTCACGTGCTTTGAAGTTGCGCTCCTGACCCAAGCACATCGCAGTTTAAGCTGAGAAGTCTTGAGATTAGGGAGGATGGTCTGTAATCAGTACAAATGAGCTCTAACGAGGCCTCCCTGGGCCTCGCCAACTGGACCGCATCGTTCTGGCCACGGCTGCTTGCATTCCTTTGCTAATTGAACTTGGGGGACACCCAACAGGTCACAAACACAGCAGGGACACGGGAGATTAGTCTGGATTCAACCAGACGCTGCCAGGGCT